GTCACAGAGGGGCTTCATGAGTCCCAATCGACTGGACGGCAACTAACTCCCCATCCCACCCTGAAACTTTTGGGTGGCATGTTAATTTTACTTTAATTTGGAAAAAAACCCATCATTTTGGGGGATATTTGATTTGATTTAGACCCCAGGGACTGGGTTGTGGGGAAAAGAGGGTGAGTGCTCCTAGTTCCCAGGGAGGTGGGGTGGGTGGGAGAAACGGGGGTTCCACGGCCTGGAGGGAGGCCCCACCCATTCCTTCTACCCTTCCCCTCCAGGTGCCAGAATGGAAAATTCATGGAGTCCGGCTTGGCCCAGGTCAACAAACCTTTATTGCTGCTTCTGGCTCCCCCAGCCCCAGCAAGAGTCCTGCTACTTAGTGTAGAAACACTGAGGTCCAGTGCAGGGGAGTGTGGGACGTGGTGGCACCACCTCCCCCCTGCACACGCCAAGGTCCAAGCAAACCCCACTTGGCGGGGTGCGTGGGCCAGACAAGGGGAGGAATCCAAGGGCAAGTATAACTCAGTCTCACTTCTGCTTGCTCCAGAGAATTGGGACCCTGGTTCCAAACTTTTTTCAAAAGTAGGGAGGGAGCTGAACTTGGCCGCTGTTGCACCCCTTGCCTGTGCTGCCATGTTTCCATGGCAATGAGGGAGGGGCAGGGTGTAGCTCACTCTGACTACCTGGGGGATGGCAGAGCAGGCATTTGGTAAACACATCCCCTTCCACTGGACCCAACACGTACAACTGTCCCCAGCCGACCCCCAGGCTCACTGCCCGCTCCACCGACTTCCTGTCTGCAGTTGGTTTCCAGCCGACTGGACTCCAGGCAAGGGCTGCGGGTGTCTCTTCCGCACAGCTGGGCCTCACCTACAACAGTCAGAACCCTGGTATGTCCACAGGCTCTCGAGCAGCCCTAAGGAAGCTGGTGGCCGCAGTGCTTCCATGGGAAGGAGGCTGCTGGGACCCCCCTAACTCTCTGTGTACCTGTTTTTTCCCAAAATCTCTGCCCAAACAAAACTTAAAACAAACAAACAAACAAAAACCAATAAATCCAAATGCTTAAGGTTAGAAGCAAGACAAACAGCTCCCCAACAATGCTGTGGGCTAGGGTGGGGGTGAGGGGTACATCCTTCTGAGAGTCAGATGGCTTTGGACCCTGCCTTATGTCCTTCTTCACTTGCTTCTCACAGGGCTGTTGCTGGGGGCTGGGATCCAAATCTCCATCTGGGGCCAAGAATGGTCCCCGCCGCTGTGGGTGTCCCCTGCGCTGAGCCTGGCCTGTCGCCACGGTGAGTTGGATTCTCAGTACCATGGATCAGCCCGGTGCTGCTGGTTGTAGAGCTGAAGCTTGATCTGATCTTTGATCTGATTCACCAGGATCTGGGACAGCAGGATTCCCACCAGCTGGGAGAGACACGAGGAACTGACCCCATGGCAGGGACACCTTTGCTTCCTTGACTCAGCACTGTCTGCACCATCCCCCACCCTCTGTCCTTCTCCCGCGCCCCTCAGCAACATCAGGGCCTGACACCCAACTAAGCCCCAGATGCCCTCCCCAAGATAAAGGCGTCTTTGCAGAGTCTGTGGCGCCCGAAGGTCTTACAGGGTAAGTTACCTGGGGGATGGCCAGGCCCAGCGCCACACCACCGAGTAAGAAGAGGTTGCTGTGTATCCAGTTGACTAGTTTGTCAATACAGCCATTGGTGTAGATGACTTTACTAGCTTCCAAGTAGTCAAGGGCCTGCATACCTTGGCCACACATGGTGTTGATCACTGCCTGGGGAGAGAGGTGGATAGCTAAGCGGGACTCCCATCCCAATAACTTTGTCTCAGGCCCTAGCTGATGGGGTTCCCAGCCTTCTTAACTCCTATATTGTTAGAGAATACGTGCGGAGGATACGTTGTTAGAGAATATGTACACGTGGTTGGGAACTACTCAGTATGGACTGCCCTTCTGAGAGGTCACGATTCAGATCTTGCTCTAGCTCTGTCCCTTCTGAACCCCCAGGTGGGCTACAGCAGTGAAAGGTTACCAGAGCCATCAGATTGGAGTTAAGAAAAACATGCGCCAGCTGGGATTGGTTAAGCTAGGAATGGGGTGCCCACCAGCAGCTGCCCTAATCAGAAATGGACTTGGATGACTGCCCAGGAAGCGATGAGCTGGGCGGCTGCTCACCTGGTCGGGGGTGGGCAGGCAACAAGAGTAAGGCACGGAGCAGCGCTCGCGGCTGGGGTTGTCCTCCGAGCAGTTGAAGTACATGTTCAGGGACCAGTCCTTGTAGGAAATCCCTCCACAGCAGCTGAACTGCAAGAAAGCCCACCCGTAAAGGTCATGGATCACCCACCCCACACACTGAGGTGAAATGGCAGCGAGTTTATGGTCAGCTTCTACTTGTACCTTCAGGTTCTGTTTAAATACAGCCTTGACTCTTGAGCTCAAGTTCCTCAGCTGCCTTCATCTGAAGACACTGTTTTGGTTTCCATTACTTTACATATATATATGTCTTGTTGAACTTACCACATGCTTGATTTTACCGCTGTATATATAGTTTTAGTTAATTTATACATTAACTATGCACTCCTTGCAGGCGGTTTCTGATTTTGCAGTCTTACACAGCAGAGCCTGGCAAAAACAGGGGCTCAGACAGACTGGCTGAAATAATGAAAAGATCAGTTCCGGAAACCTTTATCTCAAGACAGAAAAAAACAAAGGAGGGGACTCTTCTGTATCATGGGCCCATAATCACTCTGTGAGAGCAAATAGGGCCCCAAAGGGTCTGTCCATCAGAGGAAGGGGGACTCAGAACTGGTATCAAAAACTTTAAAATTTAACTTTTGATCTTGGGGGACATCTAGGCCAACTAGCATAACACAGTCCACACAGACAATGTGTTACCTCCTACTTTGGTGAGTAGTGACAGGGGTCTTAAAAGCTTGCAAGTAGCCATCTAAGATGCAGCTACTGGTCTCTCTTCATCCAGAGTAAAGAAGAGTGAAGAAAATCAAAGATGCAAGTAACAATCAATCCAAAGGACTAATGAACCACACAAACCACCGCCTCCATGACCTTAAGACCAGAAGAACTAGGCAGTGCCTGGCTACGACCACTCTGATCAGGACCACAATAGAAGGTCCTGAGTGGGGGAGTAAAACAAAATTCCAAATCATAAGAATGACCAGACTTACTGGTCTGATAGAGACTGCTGGGACCCCTGACACTGTGGCCCTTAGATACCTTTTAAGCCCGGAACTGAGCCCATCTCCAGGGGTCAACTTTCAGCCAAACAGCAGACAAGCCTAAGAAGTGAGTACCACCACCAGCAAGGAATGTGCTCCTTAGTACAATCAAACGTTGTTGTTGTTATGTGCCGTTGAGTCAGACCTGACTCACAGTGACCCCTCCTTGGGTTGCCGAGGCAGTATCACTACAGAAGTAGATTGCCCAACCTTCCTTCCGAGGAGTGGCTGGTGGGTTTGAACCGCCAGCCTTCTGGTTAGCAGTCAAGTGCCTTAGGCACTATGCTAGGAGACCAAAAGGGCAGCATTTGCCCAAAAACAAAGCTCAGAAGGCTGAGAGGGGCAGGAAGGAAGGATGAATGGAAACCAGGAACCCAGGGAGGAAGTGGGAAAAGTGTGTATATTTATATACACAAAATGTGTGTAAATTGTTGAATGGGAAACTAATTTGCTCTGTAAACTTTCACCCAAGCTCTAATTTGAAAAACAGAACAGAACTTCTGAACAGGTAATGTCTGAAAATCTTTCCAGTTCATGCCCCTATAAGGAACTACCATTTATGGTTTCTTTTGGATCCTTTCAGACTTTTATAAATATGAATGTATATTTTCTCCCTCCTCTTTTTTTCACACAAATGGTAGATTACTATATATACTGTCTCTGTCCTTAAAAGTACTATAAAGCACAGTGTGGTGTTTTCCTTTTTTTCCCAGAATCCATTACCAGGGAGGTGATGGAGAGCCCCACAGGCCTGGAGGGTGAGGCATCCCTTACCTTCTTCTGGCCAAAATCAATGAGGTTCTGCAGATCCAGGTCATCTCGGTAGTGCACGATGGCGCTGTTGATGATCTCGCTCACCTTCCCTCTTGCCTGCCAGAGACACGAGGCGCCGAGTCAGCACGCAGCACTAACCCCTAGCTTGCTCCTCCCTGCGGCAGTAACAGTAGGCAGTGACCGTCCATCTTTATGACGTCAGCTCTGAAATCAGAACCTAGTCCTAGCAATGGCAGATGGCCAGCGAAGAGCCCCTGGACCGGCTGTTGTCACTGCTCCTCTTTGTGGGCCCTCAGAAGCCAGCTGTTAATCTCGTCAGAGAGGAAGAAGGAGCTGTGTTTGATGACGTGCTGCACCTGGCACACCTGCTCCAAAGATCTCTTGACAGTATTAGAAAGCAAAAACGTCACTTTGAGGATGAAGGTGCACTTGACCCAAGCCATGGTATTGTCAATCATCTCATATGCATGTAAAAGCAAGAGTAAGGAAGACCACAGAAGAACTGATGCCTTTGAGTTGTGGTGTTGAAGGGAAATACTGAATGTACCGTGGACCGCCAGAAGGAACCAACCTGCCCTGGAAGAAGTGTAGCCAGAATGCTCCTCAGAGGCAAGGATGGAGTGACTTTGTCTCACGTACTTTGGACCAGTCCTTGGAGAAGGACACCATGTTTAGTGAAGGACAGGGTCAGGGAACAAAGGGGAAGACCTTCAACAAGATGCATTGACCCAGTAGCTGGAACAATGACCTCAAACAGCAGTGATTGTGAAGACAGACAGGACTGGGCAGCTTTGTTCTGTTGTACAACATACGGTCACTAGAGCAGGAACTGACTTGATGGCACCTAAGAACATTCTACCAAGGAGCCCTGGTGGTGCAATGATTAAATGCTCGGCTACTAACCAAAAGGCCAGTTTCAAACCCACCAGCAGGTTCACAGAAGACAAGACCTGGCACTCTGCTTCTGTCAAGATCACAGCCTAGGAAACCTTACGGGACAGTTCTACGCTATCACATAGAGTCACTAGGAGTCAAAATCAACTTGGTGACACACATTACTCCACCTGGTCTACTCCTACCCACTATTATTACAGAACACTTGTTGATGGATGCAAAGGAGAGAAAGTCAGCTTTAAGCACTGACCTCTAGTGGACATACCGAGAATTGCAGCTCTTTAGACTCGAAACAAATGTTCCGTATTATTTTAGGATTTCACTAAACCAGAACTAGGAAATTCTGAATTAACTCAGTGGCTGCCCCTTTCACAGTTTTATGCCATGCTCTCTTCCTTCCTGCTCCACTGCTTTTTCAAAGTTTTCTATCCATAGTCCTGAACTCCAGCCCCGGCAACCATCTGCCCTTGGGAAAGGCCTTCTGGATCTTAGTGACAAGGACCATCACTTAGTGGCAGGCCACTTCCAGGCACAGTCAACACTTTTCAACATCACCTTTCTTCTCCCCATTTCCTCCCCTCTGTTTACTCCAATAAACTAACTTTTTTTCCAGTAAACAATTTTTAACAATCAGAGGCTCTTCCTGTTGTCTGTGGTCCACTTGGTAACTGAATTGTACTTACTTAATATTAAAGTTTGTGGATTGTTTTAACTTGGTGTTCATTAAGTTTACTTCCCTGTTGACCCTCTAGACTGTCAGAGGAAAGCCCCTTAAGATCTTCAAATATGGCTGGTTTAAAAGCCATTCATTCACCCGAAGGAGAACCTTTCAAAGCTGGATGCTTCTCCAGGGAAGGCGTGTTAATGGAGCAGGTTAAACCCGGCGGGAGCCTTCACTTCCTCCATCCGGTTCACACCTGAGGAGGCCTCTTGGCTCCCAACTGATACCTTGTCTGAGAAGACGAAGCCCAGGACGCCAGCGGCCAGCTGAAGCAGGAACACCACGGTGAGGCACAGGGAGAACTGTGGGAGAAGGCAGGGGAGGGGCCCGTGACCACCCTGCAGCACCCCGTCCCCGGGCGGCGGGCAGGGTGCGGGGCCGCGGGCACTTCTCCCAGAGGCCCCCTCAACAGAAAAGGCTGCTGCCTCCCGGGTGGCCCCCTGTTCCTGGGTCACAGCTCTGCAGTGAGGTGTGGACAACGCAAGTCTTGAGGGGGGGACACAGGAAGCAGGTGGTAGGGCTGGCGGCCTGGCCCGGGGCCACTCACCGTCTGCAGGAGGCAGATGTTCTCACAGAGGGAGCCGATGCAGCCACAGAAGGTGAGCAAGAACATGAGCACGCCCACCACGATGAGCAGGATGGCGGGGTCCACGGCCAGGCAGGCCAGGGCTGCTTCTGGGGGAGGGGCCTGGTGAGCTGGAGCCTGGTGCTGACTCAGGGGGTGGCCAGGGCTGGGGCGGGGCGCCCGAGAACTGTTCTCTTTTCCCTGATGTGGAATCCCCAGCACGGCTGGGGGCAGGCCACACGGGGTTAGTCCCCTCTCACGGGGAGAACAAAAACGGGCCCAGCACAGTTTGTGGCATTTAACTTGAGGAAGTAACGAAATAAGATCCTTTATTCCCTGGGTTTAAGCGAGGAGGGGACGCTTTCATTCCGGAAAAGAATTAGAATGGCATTAGGCTCGCCAGCTTTGCAGATCCGTTTCCCGGAGACTTTGTGCAGCGGAGGGGGAATGGAGGTTGAGTTACTCTGGGGCAGAGCTGCGGAGGGGCTCTCGGCCTGGATTATTCTCACTCCCACAGGCCTGCCTTCTTGAACTGAAGTGCAGTGGAAGCGAATGGTACAAAATTCCTAGGGGCTCAGGGGAATCCCAGTGAGGTGGCCGGAGTGGCCTGAGCCCTGCGGAGCCGGGGCCCAGGCTGCTGCCTTGAGCCCCAGTGCTCAGGTAAGAAGTGTTGGAGAGCCAGGGCTGTGGTAGGTGGAGGGGACAGGGACATGGAAGAGTCCTGAGGGGAGGAGGGGACCTTTCGCTCACCTGCGTGCTTCATCAGCCGAGCATAGACGCCCACAGCCACCATCACCATGGAGATCACCTGTGCAGACAGGAGACAGGCCAGACCATGAGATCTGGGGCGAGTGGCAGGAGGTGACTTCCGGGCAGTAGCTGGGAACCTTTCTCCTTCCCAGTGAAGCCTCAGTGCGTCCCCGGCCATCAAGTACTCTGATCCCCGCACAAAACACCCTTGGAAGGAAGACACCCCACTTTACAGATGAGGAAACTGAGGCAATAGCAGGTGACTACCCAACCGTGGTTAAGAGTGCCAAGTGGACAGTGAGTCAGACCTGGGCCATTACTGGGCCAAGTTTCTGAGCCTCAGTTTCTGTATCTGAAGATGGGAGTTAACTTCCCCCTCCTCCCAAAGAAAAAACCACCACACATCTCAGAAGATTAATGAGAATCCAACAAAATCATGCCTGGCAAGCATTTAGCACAGTGCCTTGACAAGAGAGGTTCTCTGTCTTTCCTTGTAATCAACTGGCCCTGGGGCCCAGAGAAACTGTGAAGTTCTGAATTCAAGTCCATCTGCACCAAAGGGCGGATGTGACTACCTCTAGGAGGTCAATATGGTGTCAAGTACAAGAGAGAAAGTACACACCAGCGTGAAAGTGTATGTGTGTGTGCATGTGCGTGTAAAATGCTGGGACTGCCTCGGTGCAGGAAACTTTATCTTCAGACCCCCCGGATTCCAATGCGGAGGAACAGAACGCCCTGGCTTCTCCCCGAGAGAATGATCCCAGCAGAGACTCCAGGAGTCCCCAGAGCAGCCCCACCAGGCACCTCCCTCCCCCACCCTTCCTTTGTGCCCAGTCCCCAGGCTGGTGCTAAGCTGTCACCATGGTAATAGCTGAGGCCAAGCTCTGGCTGGAGGACGTTCTCAGCAGCAGGGGCTCGACCAACTCAGTGGGGAAGGAGGTGGTTGGCTAGACCCCACAGTCCTGCAAGACAGAACCTTCTCGAATGAGCCACCTCGGGGTCTTGGTGGAAGAAGGGAGCTGGGCTGCTACCATAGGTTACAGAGTCAGACTAGTCTCTTAGTAAGAGTCCGTGGGTGGTACAAACGGTTATGGACTTTGACTGCCAAGTGAAAGGCTGACAGTTCGAATCCACTCAGAGACGTCCTGGAGAAAAGGCCTGGGGCGCACAGTTCTACCCTGACACACGGGGTCACCAGGAGGCCTTTACAGAGAGACCTTTCCTGTGGGCTTCCTTTACGAAGGGCTCTGCCATCTGGCACAGCTGGGCAAGCCATTCGGCGGTGACTGGGAAACCCTCGCTGGAAACCATGTCTTTCAGGATGCTTCTCTGCCCATAGGCACAGCCCTCTCACCTGGCACCCGGTCACTCGCTTCTGACTCAGGGCCTGATGTATCACCCACCTCCCCTCGCTCCTGTCCCGCGGAGAGCGAGCTGTTTTCGAGTGGTGTGTGGGGCTGGAGGTACCAGCTGGCTTCTTGTCCCACAGCACACCACTCCAGAAGCACTCAGGGAACACAGGGAGGAGGCGGGAACACAGCAGCCAGAGACCACAGGCCTGGAGGCACAGCCCTCGACCGAGTGACTCAGTCTCACAGACCGCTCTCTACCACAGCGAGCGACCGTTCTGAGTATCACTTCATGACGTTGCTGAAAAACACCCATCTGCTCTTCACTTCCATCGCTCCCAGGCCTGGGAAACTCTCTGTGTTTCCACGTGTGACATTTTAACCAGGTGCAACACTTTCCATGGAGATGGTCTCTGCTTAAATTCTAACAGCTGAAACCAGAAAGGGAAAGTAAAGAGGCCACATGTCATAGGCAACTCAATTCCATCTGTAGGACTGTAATTAAGCATATAGGAGCCCTGGTGGTGCAGTGGTTAAGTGCTCAGCTATAACTGAAAGGTTGGCGGTTCAAACCCACCAACTGCTCCGTGAAAGACCCACGTGGCCATCTGCTCGAGCAAAGACTGCAGCTGGGAAAAGCTTGCGGGCAGCTCTACTTTGTCCTCTAGGGTCACCATGAGTGAGAATGGACCCCATAGCAGTAGGTTAATTAAGCATATTCTGCTTCTATCTGTGGTGGGCAAAATAATGTCCCCCCACAAGATGTCCATGTCCTAACATCTGAAGCTTGTGATATTTTCCTTACATGAAGAAAGGGATTTTGCAGATGTGATAAAGAATCATGTGAAGGGAGATTACCCTGGTGGTCCGATATAATCACAAGAGACTTTACAATAGGGAGGCAGGAGGGTCCCAGGTAGTGAAGGAGGTGTGATGATGGAAGCAGAGGCTCGAGTGCCCTGAAGCCATGAGCCGAGGAACGTGGGCCTTTAGAAGCTAGAGAAGGAAAGGAAGGGATTCTCCCTGAGAGCCTCTAGAAGGCATGCAGCCCTGCCTAGACCTCGATTCTGATCCGGTGAAACTCCTGTGGACCAACTAACACCTCCACAACTTCAGGAAAAGATCTGTGTTGTTTAAAGTCACGAAGCTTGTAGTGGTCTGTTACGGCATCAACAGGAAACTAGTACATCATCAACTGCTAGTACAAGGTACTCTGAGGGCCGGAAACATGAGTGAGGTATGGTCCCTGCCCTTCAGGAGTTTATATGCCATGCGTCATATGGGGGTGGGGAGTGGCAAGAATATTTATAGCCTAAAACGGTGGTTCTCAACCTTGACTGCCTTTGGAACAACCTGGGAGGGGCACTAAAAACTCCTGACGCTGTCTCCCAAACCAAGCATATCACAATCTCTGGCCTCGGAATCCAGGTAAAAGTATTTCGTAACGCTTCCCAGGTGACTCTAAGGTGCAGCCAAGTCTGAGGCCCACGACCTCAGACACAATCAGCCCACGATTTAGAGCCACAGATACATGCTATGTTAACATCGAGATGAAGACACTAACATTTAACGATGCCTCTCGCCTGGCAGGGAGCTCTGGTAGCGTAATGCCTAAGGCACTTGACTGCTAACCAGAAGGCTGGCGGTTCAAACCCACCAGCCACTCCTCGGAAGGAAGATGGGGCAATCTACTTCCGTAGTGATACTGCCTCAGAAACCCAGGAGGGGTCGCTATGAGTCGACTTGACGGCACATAACAACAACAACAACTTGCCCGGCACTCCCTGGAGAACTCTAACATCCTTCCCTTCTGTTAGTGCCCCTTTCGGGGGTCACAGCTTGCCCTTCCACACTTCCAGTCCTGCCCCCACCTCCCACCCCAGATTCCTTAACACTACTGCCACTCCAAAGTTAGTGCTGCTGTTAACAGCATAGCATTTCAGCACTGAATAGAAATGAGCTCGGCCAGTGATTTCTTTGTAAAGGTGATGAAAGGGAGGCCAAATGATACTTTTTAAATTTTTTGACATTGTAAATACCTCTTATCACACAACCTTTGCCAATTGAGCTTTTTATAGCTGTACAACTGACTGACAACAATTACACTAATGGCTATGCAGCGCTATCCTTAATCAGTGGGATTTTTCCATCACGGTCAGCCCCCCTCTTCCCTCTGCCCCTGATAGCCACTAAGAAACTTTGGTCTCTACACCTTTTTTTTCTCGTCTTTTTACATAAGTGCTGTCATGCTGTATTTGTCCTTTTGTGACTGATTTTGCTCAGCATGTCTTCAAGTTCCATTCACACTGTAGCAAATATCATGACTTCCTTTCTCCTACTGGTGGAGTTGTGTTCCATTGTAGGTATGCACCACATTTTGTTTATCCATTCACCTGTGGATGGGCATTTAGGTTGTTCCCACTTTTGGCTATTGTGAACAGTGCTGCAGTGAACACTGGTGTAACAAGTCTCCTTCTGAGTCTTGCACTTTCAAGGTTTTTAGCACTATACCTAGGAGTGGAATTGCTATGGCATAGGGTAGTTTTAGGAGCTCTGTTGACAGAGCATTTATTGCTATGAATTTGCCTCTGAGGCCTGGCTTTGCTGGTATGCTGTGCTTTCATTTTCATTTGACTCTAAGAGAGTTGTGGTTTCTTCCTTAACCCATTAGTAGTTTAACAGTATGTTATTCAATTTCCATGTTTTTGCATATTTTCCAGTTTCTTTTTCTTTTCTTTGATCGATGTCTAGCCTCACTTTATTGTGGTCAGAGAAAAGACTGTGTGATTCTAATCTTTTAAAATTCATCAAGACTTGCTTTATGGGGGGAGTTCCGGCAAGATGGCGGACTAGGCACAAGGACTGCACAGACGCTCTTCAACAAAGAAAAGGGAAACCAATTAACACAGACACAGAAGATAATCTTGGACCCCTGAGCCTTGAAGGGAAGGATACAAAAGTGGACTAAAA